AATCAATAGTGCATAACTTATCAACATAAAGAGTTACATTGTTACATAGTATTTGAGGTTGAAAAAAGACACAGGGCCATCAAGTTCAACCTTTTTTTGTGTGTGTGTGTGTGTCTGTTGTGCGTTCATGTGTATAAGAATCCCTGTGTGATCTAGTATTTAAGTGTACCTGAGGAAGTTATCTAATTGATTTGTGAATGATTCAATACTCTTAGCAGATACCACTGCAGTGGCAGAGAATTCAAAATTGTAATCACTCTGACTGAAAGGAAGCCCTTACGCCCTTTGTGGTTAAATCTTTTCTCCACCAATTTTAGGTGGTGGCCTCTAGTCTTTGTTATGGAGTTTACTGTAAAAAGTTTATTGCTGATGTTGCCATCACCACCCAACAATTTGTACATTAAAATCATATCCCATCCTAATCGCCTCAAGTGAACAAGTCCAAATTTAGCAACCTTGTCTCATAGCTTTGGTCCTCCAACCCCTTAATGAGTTTTGTTGCCCTTCTTTGTACTCTCTCCAGGTCCAAGACATCTTTTCTGTGGATTGGTGACCAGACCTGAACTGCATACTCCAGATGAGGGTGAACCAGCGATCTATAAAATGGCAAAATCATCGCTTTGTCTCTACAGTACATTCCTTTTTAATACAAGACAGTACTCTGCTTGCTTTGTTTGCTGCAGCCTAGCATTGCAAACTATTATTCAATCTGTTGCCTACTATGACCCCCAAATATTTTTCCATTTCTGACTTTCCTAGTATAGTAGCCATTAATGTGCATTCCGCTTTCCTGTTTTTAACCCCACAGTGCATTACTTCACATTTATCAGCATTCAAACTCATCTGTCATATAGTTGCCCACTCCCCTATTTTATCCAGGTCCCTCTGAAATGATAAAGTGTCTAAGCCCGTGCCTATTACCCTCCCAATTTTAGTATCATCTGCAAACACAGAAACATCGCTATTGACACCTTCCCCAATATCATTAATAAACAGGCTAAACAGTATGGGACCTAGCACAGAACCCTGGGGCACACCACTCTCAACTTTAGACCAATGTGAAAAAGATCAATTTATCAATACTCTCTATACATGTTCCTGTAGCCAGTCGTCTATCCATGTACCACACCATTTACATAGGCCTCGGCTTGTGTAGTAACCGTTTATGTGGTACAGTGTCAAAAGCGTTGGCAAAATCCAGGTACACAACATCCACCGGCCTCCCTCTATCCAGATCTCTTTTCAACTCTTTGTAGAAAGTTAGTAGGTTGGTCTGACAAGAACAATCCTTCCTAAATCCATGCTGGTTATCACTTATTATACCATTGTCACAAACAAAATTCACTAAATAGTCCTTTATCATTCCCTCTAACAGTTTGCATAAAATTGATGTTAGACTGACTGGTCTGTAGTTACCTGCTTGGCATCTTAAACTGCTTTTGAATATTGGTACTACCGTAGCTTTACGCCAATCACTTGGTACCCTTCCAGTCATTAATAAATCCTTAAAGATGAGGAATAACGGTCTGGCTATAACCTGGCTGAGCTCTATAAGTACTCTGGGGTGCAGGTTATCTGGTCCTAACAATGTTACATAGTTACATAGTTACATAGTATTTGAGGTTGAATAAAGACATTAGTCCATCAAGTCCAACCTATTAGGATCTCATTCTAGGAGTACCCGTACCCTGTATATTACGGTCCCTTAAGAAATCGTCCAAAAGTTTCTTGAACAATTCCACATTATTTGCTGAAATCACCGCCTGTGGCAGTGAGTTCCAGACCCTAACTGATCTTACTGTGAAGAACCCCCTTCGCCCCTTGTGCTGGAATTTTTTTTCCATCAATTTTAGGTGATGGCCTCTAGTTTTTGTAACGGAGTTAATTTTAAACAGTTTATCGCTAATGTTGCTACCACCATTAAACATTTTGTACATGGAAATCATATCCCCCCTTAATCTCCTCACCTCTAATGTGAACATGTTTAAATTTAGTAGCCTCGTCTCGTAGCTCTGGTCCTCCATACCCCTAATAGTATTTGCATTAAGTTTCTCCAGTCTTTGTTGAACCCAGCTAATGTCAATCACTGTGGTATCTTATGCCCCAAGCAGCTCACATTCCTTTCTCTATTAAACCCGTCTTTCTCCACATTAAATTTTTTTAATATGATATATCATACCAACATTACATCAAAAGAAATGATAAACTGTATTTTTCTCTTGTGCATTATCCACCAACATGTGTTGCTCCACCGAATCTGTGAAAAATAAACTTTTTTTGCACTTTTTAAAAATGAATAGTGCATAACGTATCAACATAAATAAAATACAGTCATCTAAAATTAAAAATGATCCAAATGATAAATGTCATAGACAGCAACAGTTCATCAAAGTCTGCTATAAACTGTTTCCCATAACGTCTTCCAGGACAGCATCACGAGATGGAATCTCCTCCCCCACACACAGGAAACACGTCACTTAATCTGTTTAAAAGACCCTCCTCTCCTCCACTCCCTCAGTCTTTTGTGTTTCCTCAGTCAAGCTGGGGAGCGCGTCACAGAACGCTGAGAGAGGGCTTCCATGTGGTGATGCTGCCCGGGAAGTCTTCCTTGTATGGCCTGCCTGTGTAAGGCAGAGGGGTAGGTTTGACACCATTAGATGCGAGATTCTGTATTTAAAACTTTAATAAAAAAATGATGTCCTGGCAGGACTAACCAGACCTAGTGGTAAACAGGGACAGAGATTGTGTTCTTGTCAGAAGCAAAGTTTAATAATATATATTGGACAGAATGTCAAGATTACCATTCTGCGAGGTTACAGTTAGTTACATTAATTTTTACAGCAATGTAACATTAGCGTAATTAATGAGACGCATCCCAGTGACATCCCGCACTGGGTAGGCACGGAAATACAAATCATCCAATAACATGTAGTTATTTGTCACAGCAATGAGATGGTTAACTGTCTAAAACCACAAAGTCACTCCCAAATTGACGTAGTTCAGTACCTGTTTTCGTGAACCAAACTGCAAATCTGAACCAAACTGCAATGTTCATTTTTAGGAACTAAGTCTGGTATAGTGGTGTAACGCTCACCCCCAAAGGAGCCCTAAATGAGCCCAGGTATTTCTGTCCCCCGAGCCAAATGTACTGCCCAAAATGAATGTCCCCTTTAAGAGGTCTTATATGCAAGTTATCGGCCATAAAAGGTGTATGGGGGTCCGGGTACTCCCCTGGGGGGCATGTATCAATGAGAAAAAAAAACAGTTTTTAAAGGAGCAATGATTGTAACATCACTTAAAGGGTAAGAATAAAAATGAAAAATTCCTTCAAATATCGTGCCTGCGGTGTCCCCTTAAGCTGTCCATGAATTGGTGGATCTGTACAATGTATAGAACCTGCTGCAGCAAAACTGGCATTTTTTTTTTACTTTTAAAGTGTGCAGTTCCCCCTCCCAAACAATACCAGACCCTTTAGGTCTATTAGGAATATTAGAAGGGAGCAATGTTTTGGGGTTTTTTTTAAGCGTAGGGTTCCCCCTAAAAGTCATACCAGACCCTTAAGGTCTGGTAGGAATTTTAAGGAGGAAACCCACCCACAAAAATTGGGGGGAAGAAACATGGGTTCCCTATTTAAATTCCATATCAGACCCTTGATCCGAGCATAAGCCTGGCAGGGCCAGCAAGGGCCCCTCCCTCCCACACCAGGCCACATGCCCTCGGCACTGGGAGGGTGCTTTTCCAGGGTCGCCCCTGGAAAAGCAACTTGTCCCCGTGCTGATGGGCGGTACCGTAAAATAATATTGTCGGCAACCCGCACAGAGGAGCTCACCATCCGTCCATGTATTTACAATGGGCAAACAGCAAGTAGATAAAGTGTATCTAAAGCCAAAACTTTTTTAAACTTTGGATTGGCTGTGGAAGGTTTAGAAACTTATACAGTATATATATAAGTAAGAGAAAATCCAAACAGGAATAAAGGAAAAATCTTCCAATTGAGACAATTGTGTTTTGTATACAGGAACCAGGCAGTTTGTTGTATGTAACATATATAGTATCTCACAGAAGTGAGTACACTCCTCACATTTTTGTAAATATTTTATTATATCATTTCATGTGACACACAGAAGAAATGACACGTTGCCACAATGTAAAGTAGCGAGTGTACAGCTTGTGTACATTTGCTGCCCCCTCAAAATAACTCAACACACAGCCATTAATGTCTAAACCGCTGGCAACAAAAGTGAGTACACCCCTAAGTGAAAATGTCCAAATTGGGCCCCAAAGTGTCAATATTTTGTGTGGCCACCATTATTTTACAGCACTGTCTTAACCCTCTTGGGCATGGAGTTCCCCAGAGCTTCACAGGTTTCCACTGGAGTCCTCTTACACTCCTCCATGACGACATCACGGAGCTGGTGGATGTTAGAGACCTTGCACTCCTCCACCTTCCATTTGAGGATGCCCCACAGATGCTCAATATAGTTTAGGTCTGGAGACATGCTACCTCCTCATGTATCACTTGCCCCTCCCTCTTAGATTTTAGGCTCTCACGGGCAGGGCCCTCCTTACCATCTTTTCTTGAATTTTATTGTAATTTGTATGTCTTCACTATTTTGTAAAGCACTGTGCAAACTGTTGGCACTATATTAATCCTATATAACAATAATAATAATAGATCTACATTAGGCAATGCCATCTTTGGGATCAACTGGCATCCAAAAAGGGATAATAGGAGACTCTCCAGTCCCTTGCAAAATGACACCATATATGTTTATAAGCATATACAGTACTTTTAATTTTTTTTTCAGATCAACTATCGAGTCACAGACCCCCTTATTAGTAACAGGCAAATATATCCAACTTATTACCGAATCATTCAGGATGACTGGGTCCATTACACATCTATTATAAAGTGTCTGAAACATTTTGGATGGAATTGGGTTGGAATTATCACACCGAGTGATGGAAGTGGAGATGAAGAATTACAAGAACTGAGCAAAATGATGACTCAGCACGCCATCTGCATTGAGTTTGTGATTAAACTTATAGATAATCAGCAGACAAATAAACAGAGAATGCTGACCGCTAAGAAGTCAAGTAGTAGTGTCATAATAATGTGTGGTCTTTTCTCCATAGACTATTTGTATGTAATTCATGAATTAAAAGCTACTATAGAAAATAAGACCCTGATACTTCATGACTCCTGGACCAATTCTAAATTTATGGAGTCTGGATTCTTTTCCCTAATTAACTGCAGCTTAATATTTGTATTACCAACGAAAACAATTCCAAGCTTGGATACATTTATTTACAGTGCAAATCCATCCAGATACCCAAATGATCCAATACTGGAAGACATTTGGCTTCAAATGTTCAATTGTCTTTCTCCAAACCCACACAAAAATGATGTCTTGTCATTTATATACAAGTTTTCTGGAATAAATTGCTCAGGCACAGCCCATATTTCCCCAATTTTAGGTGACATCATGGATTCAAAGCCCTCCTATGCATACACCTCCGTTTATATCATGGCTCAGGCTTTGCACAGAATGAAGTTTAGCAAAGACAAACTAGGAACATATAAATTACAGCAATTCGTAAGTTTTTATATAAAAAAATAAATGGCCTGTACTTTAAAGAATGTATGTTGTACATGATTTATGGTATATTAGTTAAACAATTGCATTGGGTTGATCTATGGACATCACATCATAAGAAAAGATTTCAGTTAATAGTTATATTTCATCAGTTTTGTCTTAGGTTAACACTTAACAACCAGGGGGAGTGTCCATCACCAACATGTAAGGGGGAAAACCTCCCAAAGCCTCTTCAGCACATGCTATCATTTTCACATTTTGATATGTTACCTGTATACAAGTAATATTAATGTTAATTGGCTTTTTTTAATAAATCAAGGAAAGGTTTGATGCTCTGACAAGTTTTCTTGTTGTCTGTATCCCCATTTAAGAGATGCATCCTCTCTATTCTTTTCTGGAGATCATGGCTACCAAGAAAGAAAATAAGAGAAGGTTCTAAATGTAAAAGTTTTTATGTCAGCAAGAAATGAGGGGAAATATTTGACTGGGGGACAAATGTAAAGACAAATGTGCAATATTGTCTTCATGTCACCAAGCAAAGTTCCTTAGGAATTCAGTAGCAGTGGTAGATAACTCCATCCTAGACATAGCTTGAAAACTAACATACAGATATTATTACTTATTGGCCATTTTTTTTTCGTTTTTAAGAACACTGTTAGGTTTTGGTCACTTCCTCAAGCATCAACATGACAAAAGCAGAAGGTAAGTAAAGAAGGAGGGGAGAGGACACAGCAAGGGTCAGAAATACACTGGGGTTCATTTACTAAAGGAGTAAAGTGGTAGTTGAGAAGCTGTGTTCAGTTTGAGTACTCAGTCCTGACTGAACTGAAATGAGCACAGCTGTATATTATTTCTTAAACAGAGTTAGGGCTAGTTCACACCAGCCTCAGTGCGTTCCAGCCCGATTCAGGCCGTAACGCAGTCACTGATCTTATTGTGGGCGATGCGCATTGGAGGGCGTGGCTGTGGTGCCATTGAGTTCAACGCACCCCACCCCAAAACAAAATGAGTCGGCCCTAATGCGATCCAGTGCATTCTGGCCAGATTTAGGCCGGAACGCACTGAGGCTGGTGAGAACTAGCCCTTAACATTCTCTGCTTATTTTTTTTCTAAAAACTTAAATGTATCCTACTTACTGAGACTAAGGGGTCTACGTTGAAAAACAATTTACAGAGCCATTTGTCCAGTGAAACTGTTTACATTTGTTCTGTGTATATGGAAGCCATTACAAACTGTCTCACAGGGTTATTCACTAAAGGGTGAAGAGTTTGGAGAAGGCAGGAGAAGTGAACAATCAAAACTTAGCTGAACTGAAAAGTGAGTTGAATTGGAGAATTTTTCCAAATTATCTATTTTGTCCTAGATTGTTCACTTCTCCTGCCTTCTCCAAACTCTGCACCCTTTTTGTGAATAACCCTGTAAGTATAATTTGCAATCCAAGTTAAATGTATCACCTGAAGAAATACCTTATTATAGCCACTAGATGGAGCCGAGGAGTGCAGGAATTCATTCCCCCATCTAGTGGCTATAATGTGGCATTTGCCTGATATTACATTACATAGTATTTGAGGTTGAATAAAGACATTAGTCCATCAAGTCCAACCTATTAGGATCTCATTCTAGGAGTACCCGTACCCCTGTATATTACGGTCCCTTAAGAAATCGTCCAAAAGTTTCTTGAACAATTCCACATTATTTGCTGAAATCACCGCCTGTGGCAGTGAGTTCCAGACCCTAACTGATCTTACTGTGAAGAACCCCCTTCGCCCCTTGTGCTGGAATTTTTTTTCCATCAATTTTAGGTGATGGCCTCTAGTTTTTGTAACGGAGTTAATTTTAAACAGTTTATCGCTAATGTTGCTACCACCATTAAACATTTTGTACATGGAAATCATATCCCCCCTTAATCTCCTCACCTCTAATGTGAACTGGGAAGAAAAGATACTCATAATAGTTACATAGTTACATAGTATTTGAGGTTGAATAAAGACACAGGTCCATCAAGTTCAACCTATTGCGTGTATGCATGTGATTCTGCATGTGTATGCATGTGTATGAGTCCCTGTGTGGTCTTGTTCTTAAGTTCTCTCCGCTGAAATCACTGCTTGCGGCAGCGAGTTCAAGACCCTAACCGCTCTAACTGAAAAGAAGGCCCTACACCACTTGTGCTGAAATATTTTCTCCACCAATTTTAGGTGGTAGCCTCTAGTTTTTGTTATGGAGTAATTATGTTAATAATATACTAATAGGAATTCTTACCTCCATTCACACAGAACAAATGTTCATGGAGTTTGTGGGCAAAATGTCTCTGCAAATTATTTATAAATATACCCTTTAGTGCAATATATCACAGACAATGACACACAGGACAAAATAACATGTTTTAGGGGTTCATTTAAAAAAAGCAGTTTGGTTCTGAACATTTATAAAGATGAGTAATGTGCTCTGTGATCTGCTGGCTTTTGGTCAGGAAAATGAATGAAAGCATTAATGGAGAATTATGAGGTGAGTGATTTTCACTCAGACTCACAATCTGAGCCGAACCTGTGACAATAAAACTGTCACAGGTCGACTCAGTAGATCGAGAAGTGAGCGAAACACATACCGGTGCTCGCTCACTCCTCGCTCTCGATCCTGTTCCGGCAAAGAGCCGTGACAGAGGAGGGACTGGATTCCCCCCTCCTCTGTCCAATCTTCCAGCACTGACTGGCGGAACGGACGGGGGGGGGCGGGTACAGCTGGCTCTGCCTCTAGATAGGCAGATCCAGCTGTCACTTACGCAGCTGGGTGGATCCAGACATAATTGTCCGGATCCGTTCCGGCTGCAGCGTCTCAGTATACCGCGAGGTGTAGCTCGCGGTATACTGAGCTTTGGGTGACGGGAGGACGCTAGTTTGTGTCCTCCCATTACCCTTAGGAGAACTATGGGGAAAAGCCCTAACCCCATAGTTCTCCGTTAAAAAAAGGTCGGGAGCACAGCTGATCCATGTGAACTGGCAAGCTTTCAGGACTTGTTCTTCTCCAATCACAGAGCTATCCTTGCTCCATTAAGCGGAGAGAACACTTTGCAGTCTATATACAGTGATTTGCAGTCTATATACATTGTGTTTGTTTAAGTATTGCTTGCTTAACATTTTCATATGTATGATGGGATATACAAACGCATGGGCACTAGTTTTTGTACACAGTATATATATAGTGCTTCTGATTTAATTAAAAAAATAAAGGCTATGGGTGGCCTGGGTGGAGTCATCTTTTTGATTATTTAAGTACATTTTGTGCATTGTATTGGTGCATGCTAAAAATGCAAAAAATTGGCTCGGCAATCTAAGATGTAAAATGCCAGCTGGTAAATGGCAGAAAATGAATTAAAGCCCATTAAGATTACCAATATACCCCCTAAACACACTCATTTATCCTTTCCCATTGGCTCCAGCACATTGTTTCAAAATGGTGAAATTTCACCAAAATCTCCCAATTATCACCACATTTTTGACAATGCAAAAATTCAATATTTTGCTGATTTCTAATTGTGAAATATGTAAAGATTAGTCCCATATTCAATGTATTTTACTTTGACACTTGTGTCTCACTTTTCCCATGGAAGCTGCACAGCTATGTGAGAAAGGTTCATTACACAGATTCCACCGGAGCGGAGATCTTCTTTAATGACAAAGCAGAAATTTCCACCAAGTTGATTTTAGCAAATTTTATCATTTCCGAAACCGAGACCGACTGTAAATTTGTCATTGTGCCACTGATTGTCTTCAACACGACTTTAGATGATGATCACGTTTTCAGTATTAAGGTTAACAACATTTCATGGAAAAGTTCCACTGTAAGAACTGATTATGTGTATTTAACGATAATTTCACTTTATTTGTACATTTTATTCAACAATTTGCACTCAGACCAGACAATAAAAAGATGTGATATGTATTCCTGTAACTGGAACTATTTAGGAAATGGTGTCATTTGTATAAAATGGTGTTGAGTTACAGTGAGTTTGTGTGTTTTCCCCAGTAAGGGGTGTATTTATAAAGAATCCAGAGCACCCTGCAAATCTCCATATACATGTGTGTTCTTTGAGATAAGAGCCAAAAACAAATGTTATTAGTTCCACTAGGGAAGTCAGAAATGGAGAAAGATTTGGGGGTCATTGTAGACCACAGATTGAAGAATAGCTTGCAGTGCCAGGCTGCTGTAAACAAAGCAAGTGGAGTCCTGTCCTGTGTTAAGAAGGGGATTTATTGCAGAGACAAGTCTATAATTGTGCCACTTTATAGATCACTGGTTCGGCCTCATCTGCAGTATGCGGTCCAGTTTTGTTCACCAGTCCACAGAAAGGATGTCGTGGAGCTGGAAAGAGTCCAGCGGAGGACAACCAAACTAATTAGGGGAATGGAGGACTAGAGCTATGAGACAAGGTTACTAAATTTAAATATGTTCACCTTGGAAGTAAGGAGATTAAGTAAGGAGATTAAGGGGGGCATGATTTTCATGTACAAGATATTCACTGGTGACAGCAACATTAGCAACAAACTCTTTACGATTAACTCCATTACAAAGACTAGAGGCCACCACCTAAAATTGATGTAAAAAAATTCCACCACAAGGGGGGTTCTTCACAGTTAGAGCGGTTAGGGTCTGGAACTCGCTGCCACAGGCAGTGATTTCAGCTAAGAGTGTGGAATCATTCAAGAAGCTTTTGGACGATTGCCTGAGAGACCGTAATCACATCAGCAATAGGTTGGACTTGATGGACTTATGTCTTTATTCAACCTCAAATACTATGTAACTCTGTAACTATTAGTTTATTTTCTTTCTTGGAAAATAAAATATCAGGAGCTCACCACATTTTGCCCACTAGATGATGCTAAGGAACAAAGGAAATAAGAATGTATTTTCTAAGTGCCCTACCCCCATCCCCTATCTAGTGGCCCTAATGCAGTATTTTGTTTTTGCCTTTGTTTACACAGAACCAAAGTACACAGAGACTTGCAGGACAAATGGCTCTGCGAATGTTTTATAAATGCACCCTGAAGTGTTTTATGTATAAATAAAATGTAAGCCGTATTTGTCTAGAGATCCAACTAAAGTGTCACATTGATTTTTGTGCACTACTAGTTCAGTTTAACTTGTGATCCATGTCTTCTCATCTAACAGCAGAACATGAGCTCACAAAAGCTTATTTAGCTAAATGGGCCCACATTCCTACAGTCACACTCCATAATATCGTGGAAAGCCTTCCAGGAAGGATAAAGGCCTTCCCCAATGCTAAAATGTAATGAATTTTCCCTGAATTTCAGCAAAGCGAAATCTCCCAGTCTCTGAATGACATGGCTTTATTTATCAACAGTAATGCTATCCAAGTGTAAAGATACTCACTTAGTGTGTGTACAAAGAAAGTGTTACCTTTTTCTCTAGGTTTACCATTTGTTAGGGTTAGTGCTAATGTTGGGGGGACCATTGTTGTTTTTTACACCAAAGCAGTTCAAGGATAGTTTAAATGGCCCTTGGGTGTAATGCTCATCTAAAAAAAAACCTTGACTTTGCCTTCATCTTTGAATAATTTTTATTAAACTGGCAAGCTTTTAGCAAAAGTTCCCCAAAATTGCTGACATTTTGGTGTAGTAAAATCTTCCAATTTTACTCCTCCCTGGTACACATCACCAAAAAGGTCAGATGTTCTGGTAGATTGTCAAATCATTGATGTAAGCTATAATTTCTATAATCATAAATTGCTAAAATTGTAATTGTTTCTATTTTATGTTTTTCAATTCAAGATTCCAGAGTCCCGATGTAATGACCGATGTCCTCATGGGTTCAGAAAAGCTTCTAATGGAAGAAACCATGTGTGCTGCTATGACTGCATCCCATGTTCTGAGGGAGAGATGTCCAATGTAACTGGTAGGAGTAGGGTGAATATAGCACAAATCTTATCATAACCTTATCACCAATTTACTTACTTTCATTGAAATAAACTGTAGTTTTCTGTAGCAGCTTCATTTTTTTAAATCCATAAAGGTTTAATATTGTGGTTCGTCAATATATTGGCAGCAGAAAGGTGTTAGATTACCATCTTTGGCCAAAAATCACCCCACTTCACCCCTTCTTACCCATTCAGCAGTTATTGAAAAGAAAAATACCTTGTTAAGTATTGTATGATTTCCTAAGTGCATGGTCTGTGTCCCTCACTGATGCTACTTTTGGTGTTGATGACCCATGGATCCCATACAGCAGTCTGTGATCACATTGACCGTTCACCTCTCCATGATGTCATCACACTAATGCAGTCTCCTTAAAAATCCCATTTGATAGCCAATAGCAAGTGTCCACATAACCCAGGCAGTAATGTGGCCATTAAATTCATTTTTTCTCTTAATATATATGTCAGCAATTAATAAATATGTTAGTGTTTCGTGATTCGATGCCCTGAATTTAACTTTAAACATTCTCATGAAGGTCACAGCTTGTAAATGCATGAGGTGGTGTTACTACAGTGATGTAGGGCCTCGAGTCTCAGCTGGTCCCATCTACATGTCCTGATTCATTGTTATAGTGAAGTTAAGCGGTTATTAGTAGTTAGTATGTAGAGGCTTCACAGACTACAAGACTTGAAGGGTTTGAAACTGTAACCCAATTTTTCATACGTGTTGAGGAGTGTAGCAATACTGTGGCTGTCCTTGACTTTCACAGACATATCTGAAGCTTCATGACATTTCATACATTAATGTGTGTTTAAGAAGTCCCCAAATAAAAAGTGTAGGTTGTAAAACAGTATTCTGAATATTCCTGTATTTTCCATGACAAACAAAAAGTATTAAAGCATAGGCTGAACTCACAATAATGTGTATAGGCATTAGCACCTTATAAAGTCATGTGACCACTCTGGGAAAATGATTCATAGGTCCTCAGAAAGGGACATAGGCTATTGTGTAACCTTTGTTCATATTCAGGGAACCGATATGCTGTATATTAAAGTAGTAGAACTAGTGACAAATGCATAAAAATAAAACAAACAACCAGATACCTGATCATGCGTAATGATAACAAAACTTTATAAATAAGAAGTTAAAGTTGCATTTGCTGCATTGAATGGAGAGTGGAGCGGAGATCTGTCACTGGTCCAAACCAGCGATTTGGTGTAACATGTCTCATAAGTGGTGTGAAGTGCATTCGTTACTGTCAGGGAACCAACAAATCAGACAGAAACTTAAAGTGTAGGTTACAAATTAAAAGCAGTTTATTAAAAATAACAATAATCAAAATGGAAAAAAATAGAGAAATTTCGGGACATCATCGGTGCCAAGCAGGAGGTCGGGTACCAAAGTGGGGAGTCATCCTAACAAGGCCAAGGAACACTGAGAGCAGGATGAACTGAAACAATAGCAGAAATCAGATAGCCAGGAACAACAGCAGAGCACTTGGCAGATCTGAACACACACAATAGCAGAGGCTAAATGGACAAGCTGAAGGGTAAATAGTGAACTGTTGTTGCATCATCACTCTGAGACAAGACGTGGTCTGGAGTTTATAGGTAGCTGCAGACAGATGATGTTTACAGTTTTGGTCATAAGAGGGGGCCAAAGAGGAACAAACAGTGTCAGACACACTGCAACAGAAGACAGGCTGCAGCTCAACAGCAGAAGGAAGGGTATGAAACCATGATGGATACACTGTATTTCCCAAAAGAAGCCATGACATCCCAAGCTCTATACAGATGTAGCAGTGAATGTAACAGACCTCCCTAGGTATCAGGAATAAACAGCCCTCTTCCTCTATTTTCTATGGCTGACTCTGTGCCCTTTTCATTTAAAGTGTATCTATGCCCAATGCAATATGTCACAGCCTACAAGAGCTTAGATGTCTTGGCTGTATTAGTCATGGGTGATAACTTGGTTATGGGTGATAACTTGAGAGCTTGAGATTTTTGTGCAGGACTGACATAACAAATTATATTTGGATCAACAAGCATGTTATTGTACTCATGGAATTGATACATCAAAACAGTTTTCAATAATGCATTTGGTCTGTCCTTGCTCTAAGTTGCCCTGTGTATAGCTCCACATGCAGCTAAACCATCCTATTCTGCAATAAGCCAGGCTAGGTGAAATCTTGATGCTTTATTCACAAAACAGGGTGGGGTGAAACTGGTGATAAAGAAAATAGTAAAATAGACTCAGTATATAAAACATGTATATAAATATTTTACAAATGTTCAAAGAAACAAGTCCATCCATACCAGCGATGCTGCCTAAGAGCGAGTTGGACTCTTTCCTCCAAACATGTTCTGTGAATGACAGTGGATTCTTCATTTATTAGTTCTAAAATGGAGCCTGAACCAACATGCCCTTGTTTTCTTTTCTTTGACCAGAGGGATGTGGGAAGTTTTTTATTAAAGGAAAACAGTCTTGAAGCTGCGTTAAATAGAGATGTTTTCTCGCAGGTAGGTAAGCCTATTATTATTTCTACATGCCGGTGGCAGAACAATATTTCACAGACCAAAAGGTAGCAAATTAGAGAAGTTCATTGTTAGGAGCTACAACACTAACTTTGGGGAACAAAGCTGCAGAATGAACACATTTGATCAATATATGTTTTATATTATAAGTTGTAGTAGTGGCCTTTGAGATTCTAAACAAATTCCACTTTACGGGTAACATGCAATTAATTGTTAACAAAATGCTCTCATGTCTGATTTACGAGTGTTTTTTTCCAAATTTTAACAGACAGTGAAACCTGCCACAGATGTCCCAATGAAGAATGGCCTGATGAGAGAAAAATAAAATGTGTTCCTAAAACATATATTTTTTTGTCCTATGAAGACGATGTGATTGTTACAATTTTCTTATTATGTGCTTTACTTTTTTCAGTCATAACATTGTTTATATTATTCATCTTTGTCTATTACTGGGACTCTCCAGTAGTGAAAGCCAATAACCGGACTGTTAGCTTCATCCTCCTGACCTCCATCTTGCTGAGCTTTCTCTCTGTCTTCTTGTTCCTCGGTCGTCCTGTGGATATAACCTGCATGCTCAGACAAATGTCATTTGGGATCTTCTTCTGTGCTGCCCTCTCTTCCGTTCTGGCAAAGACTATCACAGTCTGCATTGCATTTAAAGCTACCAAACCTGGAAGTTCCTGGAGAAAATGGGTGGGGTTCAGTGTGTCTTATTTTGTATTTCTTAAATGTTTTTCTGTCCAAGTTCTGATCTGTGTTATTTGGCTGTCAGTGTCTCCTCCCTACCAAGAGTATGACATGCACACCTATCAAGATATGATCATCATTCAGTGTAATGAAGGGTCAGTAATCGGATTCTACTCTGTGTTGGGCTATTTGGGGTTTCTAGCAGCTGTGAGCTTTGTTCTGGCTTTCATGGTGAGGACATTACCGGACAGTTTTAATGAGGCCAAGTACATCACCTTCAGCATGCTGGTGTTCTGCAGTGTCTGGATTGCCATGATCCCAGCCTATCTGAGCACCAGAGGGAAATATATGGTGGCTGTGGAGATATTTGCTATACTGAGCTCCACTGCTGGTGTACTTTGCTGTATATTTTTACCAAAATTATACATCCTTTTTTTTAAACCTGAGATGAATGTCAGAAAAACCATGTTGGTGAAAACAAAAAATGTTTATACTGATTTATAAAGAAGTACAATGTTACCCATCAAAGCATTTGTTCACTATTGGTCCACAGTTTTTAGCCTTTAACATCCATTGACATGTTTAATATATAAAATAATTTCAATTTAAAAATTCAGTTTCTGCTGTGTTGGTCATTTATATCTAAAAGTCACACTACACTCAGGAGTTAAATCTCTAAAATACATTAAAGTACCCCAGCTATTAATACAAATGTATCTTATTTGTGTATCACTCATCTGTAGATCCTCAAATCATCTCTGAATTGGTGCTGACACTGTCCTTCCTTCAGGAGGGTGACTACTTTTGTTCCCCATGGCCTCTGTGTGTTATGTAAAGTAGCCACCAGACCAAGCTTGCTTCCTTGATGGACTACAATCTCAATAAAAATTAGTGCAAATTCCATGCTAGGTCAAAGTTTTCCAATAATTTAATTTCCTCACTTGCTGTTATTCCAACAAAGAGGAATAGTTGATTGGAGACTGGAGGAGTTGATTTCTTAACTATTCTGAAATTCCAGATGGTTCTCTAGTGGAATGGAAGGAGAGGTGGATATCGTGTTTAGGGCTTCAGTGGAGCAGCTGTGTGTGGGGCTGTGTCTGGGGATTGTGTGGAGATGAGGAGCATGTGAGGTTGTGTGTGAAGCTGCAAATCAGGTGGTCTATGCGGCAGAGTGATGTGCAGCTGAGGTGCTGGTGGCATTCGAATGAGTCAGGGGTGAGGCACTTTGCTCAGTCAGAGAGCGGGAGAGGGAGCTGTGCAAAGACGCGCCAAGCACGAGGTGCTTGTGATTAAACTGTGGATAAGTGGCTGCTGCTGAGAAGGGATTGCAGCAGTGTGTTCATACAAAGGTACAGTGTGTGCTGAGAGAGGGCGTGCTGCTGAATGGGAACTCACATACAGCAGAAAGTGTCAAGTGGGAGAGAATTCCGGGGGGCTGAGGGGGAGAGAGCATGTTTCTGGGATTACTGTAAACTGTATTTATCTGCTGGGTACTGGGAATTACACTGTGGACCGTATTGATCTACTGGGGACATTGTAAACTATTGATCTGCTAGTTCAATTTGCAATAGGAACTGTATTAAAGTACTAGGGGCAGTTTGAACTGCAGTTATCTGCTGGGAGCCTTGTGAACTGGATTGATCTGCTGGGGACACTGTTGACTCAATTGATACTCACATGCTGGGGACACCATGCTAGCATAGTAATCTGTATTGTTCTGTGGGGAACTTTGATACTGTATTAATCACAAAGTGATATTATACAAATCTGTGGGGGTCACCTTGTAACTACACTGATCTGATTGGGGCATCATGTTAGTGTACTAACCTGTTGGGGGGCACTATGATAGTCAACAAATCAGTAAATGGGCACTGCAATATCATGATATGGCACCTATTAGTCCGTTCAGTTGAACTATAATACTGAACTTACCAGCTGGGGCAATGTGTTACTGGATAAACGCATGTCACTTTATAAAGAGACAGGAGAATGTAAATGAACAAATAACTTGAAAATCCCCATTAAGTCCTTTAGCAAATAATAGTTATGACCACCATGCTTGGTAAGGCTATCAGGTGCATGTCATTTATGCGCTACTTGAGTATGCGCACAAGAGTAAATACTGCCATGTGAGATGTGAGCTAGTTGTTGCTTGGAATTCCAGATCTTGTATAGTACTCACCCAAATACTCTGATACTTACCCTGGATACCGGAACTTCTGGTCAGAGGGAGTGCCGCAGGGGAACATAGAGGCAGTTTCCCGGCCAATCAGGAAGCCGGGTGGTGGGTAATGACCCACCTCCCAGCTTCCTGATTGGGAGATAAGCTTCATGCCCACATGAGCTGACAGCTTCCCGATTGGAAGCCACCACCATCTTGGATGAGGGTAATTTGCTAGTCTGTCCTTTTTATCACTACCATAGTAGATGTTCTGTGTAAGTGTTAATTTAGTGGGTGTGCGGGGTAGAACATTTATATATTCCAATTCCAACCCCAATCTTATTAAAAACAAAACAAATTGGAGCTGTTTCCAGTAGCAACCAACCAGAATTCTTCTGTAAGTGTTCTATGTAAGAAACCTGACTGGTTGCTTTGGGAAATTAGACCCATGTTGCGTTCTCTTTCATTTACCTCCAATCCTGCGAGAATTCACTCCAACCTTTTGTAAGAGTGCATTATTGTGGAATTGCAAGCTCCTAGCTCTCCCAGGGGGGATATGGTGCCGTTACCTATGGTAGTGCTGAATGCCAAGGCCAAAGTATTTTTTTTCTGAAAATCTGTTTGTTTACAAATGGCTTTTTGGGGGGAGCCAGGGGGCTTCCAAAGAAAGGAACTTCTGTTTGCCATGTTTATGTTTGACACTGCCAGTCTATACAAAATAAATGGGATGCTTTAGTGCAGCATATCTTACCACATGGTAACACATTGCATTCACGTAGGTGTGTTAACATAATATATAGCGTGCAGGACACCTTAGCGACGTTGCTGTATTGTACATTCTGTGTATTGCTGTATATGGTTAACTTTCATACAATTACAAGGAGATGAGAGGCTCTGTCAATGCTCCATGTACTGTGACCCGCCTCCCAGCTTCCTGATTGCCCAGGAACCCAATTCCATGCTGTTTAGCCAGTTCAATGCTGATTGGCTGGGAAGTCAACTTCCCTGCAAAGCAGTATCGACAGCCGTCTTAATGCTGATTGGCTGGGAAGCTGGTTTCCCATCCAATCAGCTTCGAGCCAGCCAAACTGCATGGAGCCTTCTTCCCGGGAAATCAAGAAGCCAGGAGGCGTGTCATTACCTGATGCTCGGCCTCTTGATTCCCCCGGAAGCCGGCTCCATGCTAGCAGAATTACCGGTATCGGTACTCTGTATCGCCGCGTACCGAAATATAAATGTATTCGTACTCGATATCAGAAAAATGGTATCGGTGCATCTCTAATTGTTATATCCCAATAAATATGCACAGATACATGATATTGGGGATATCAGTTCTGGGGTAGCATTACTGTTGCAGAATACCACCTCTAGCCGTCAGGGGAGTGACTGCTTCAGTATGGAGGATAGCAGGATCGTAATCTGTCACCTTGATCTCCAAACAGTAGCTTGTATAGCAGGCACTCATGTCTGGCACATTGTAGATTGAATGGACAGATTGTTGGGTGTGGCTGGGGAAGATCCAATGTTCATGGTACACATATGTACTAATGGCAAAGTCACAAGTAGATGGAGCATTGTCAAAAAATATTTCAGAGACCTAGGTCAGAGGCTAAAGAAGAGGATCTGTATGCAATTATATGCTGCCTCTTCCATTTGTATTTAAAGTTAAATGAAATAAAATAGTCATACGTTTTAATACAGATTGTTGCCTCTCATCATTGCTTATGATGATTAAAGGAAAGATCATAGGCAATCTACTGTATGAAACTGCATTCATCACTGTTCCCTCTTAAATACCTCTCCTATGCATGCTGCTCGCATTAAGATTCAAAATCTAAAATTCATATGTGTCTTGTAGTGGTTCTTCTCAAAAAAGCTTTCTGAGATGCTGGTTAGCTTCCAGATCTCTGTGTCAGACTTTATGTGTACCTTACTTTTCTCAGTCTAGAACTCTGAACACCATGACTCCACCCCACTACATCCTGTTTAAGCCATGTCTCTGAGCTTCCTGTTTTCCAAATGTATTATGCTCATTGCAATGTCTAGTTTGTTGTTGCTGTTAAGCATCCAAACTCAGCTGCTCATTTACTCATTTTGGTTAACTACTCCTCATCACCCTCCACTTCATATTTAACCCCACTAGCTACACACACCAGCTAAATACAGGTGAAACTCGAATAATTAGAATATCGTGCAAAAGTTCATTTATTTCACTCATGCAACTTAAAAGGTGAAACTAATATATGATATAGACTCATTACATGCAAAGCAAGATAATTCAAGCTGTGATTTGTATAGTTAAATAAATATGACATTGAAATGAAAGATGATTTTTAGGGACTGAATTAAAGGATTAAAGGATCAACTTATCCTTTTTGTCCCCTTCACTTGACCTAATCTAACCGCCCTCACTCTCCTCTTATGCCTAATTATCTTTACATGATGGCTGTTGACATGCTGTTTGTTTACAATCAGTGAGACCAGTCTTCATTGTCCTTTCTATGCCTGCATATTAATTCCCTATAGCTTTCTCTGGGCTGTGTCCTAAGGTTGTAGACAGTCCATAAGAAGGACACAGCGCTTAGTAATGCGCCGGACACAGGGCCTAGTAACGCACTGGACGCAGGGCTTAGTAACACGCTGGACACAGGACCCACTTGAGACCCCACACAGCCCACCTGAAAGTGACCCTGCAGAGCACACCATACAGTGACGGAAGTGACGTGATCCCCCGTCAATTCCCTATAGCTTTATCTGGGCTGTGTCCTAAGGTTGTAGACAGTCCATAAGAAGGACACAGCGCTTAGTAATGCGCCGGACACAGGGCTTAGTAACGCACTGGACGCAGGGCTTAGTAACACGCTGGACACAGGACCCACTTGAGACCCCACACAGCCCACCTGAAAGTGACCCTGCAGAGCACACCATACAGTGACGGAAGTGACGTGATCCCCCGTCACTTCCGTCACCTATCCGTCATCTTCCTATGGCCACTCGTCTGCGTCGCTGTCAGACTAGGATAGTGATGGCGAATGTTTTTGAACCCGAGTGTCCAAACTGGGACGTAAAATCAATTTATTTATCTCAAATTACCAACACTAAAAATAACTTTAGTATTGCTGTGCAGTTCGGACGCTCGGGTTTAAAAAATGTTCAGCGTCATCACTGCCTCAGGCACAATAAGGAAACACACACATTCAAATATTTATACACTCATTAACCACTTGCTGCCCGGAGCAATTTCTTACAGTTGCGCACACACATGAAAAAATCTGAATTTTTGGCTAGAAACAAGCTTCAGACCCCCCAAACAATTATATATTTTCTGAAAGCAGAGGCCCTATAGAATAAAAAGATGTTAGTTGCAATTTTTTATGTTGCACGGTATTTGCGCAAATGTTTATCACATTTGTTTATCACATGTTAAAACAAGTGTTTTTAGAATAACATACACTAAAATGAAATTTAGTGCACAGAAACAGAATATAATGGGCAATTTGGTAAAATAAAAAAGACGGGGTCACGCCGGGGAAACCGCAAAAAACTACAATAACCAACATTTCCCATAGGCAACGCTTTAAATGCTTTTACGGCTCATCAGTTAATGCTATCAGTGATTGATGGGCTGAGAATTATTGCTCTCAATGCGACGTTCGTGACGATACATAACATGTGTGGCGCAATTTTTGTTTTTCACATTTAGGCGTATCCAATGCATGTTTCTAATTGTATGTGCCTGCACATGGGGAAAGGGGAACCTTCAAAAATTGTTACTTTAATTTTTACAATTTTTTATTTTTACACTCAGCTTTATTGCTATTACATAGGGGGCTAAAAAGCCCACTATGTAATAGATAATATAATAATGTGACTGGTCCTCTTTATGGAGACATCAGGGGTCTTTCATACCCCAAATGTCACCTAGGGACCCCAAAGAAGCTGATGGAGCAGAGATCTGCTTCATCTGCTTTATCCTCTGGCTCTAAGAGCCCGTTAACATCACTTGCAGTGTGTTCTGGCCCAATTACGGCAAGAACACACTGCATCGCATTGTGGTCGACTCAATTTTTTGCCGAGTAGGAGGGGGTGTGGCGGGCCATTGAAGTGAATGGTGCCGTAGCCACACCCTCTGCCCGCAATGCGATTGCCCGCATGGGATCGCAGGGCACATTGTGCCTGCAGTCCGATCCAGTGCGGTCAAAATACTGCTTGCAGCATTTTGACTGCACCAGAACGCACTGCAGGCACAATGTGCCCTGCGATGCTGTGTGGGCGATCGCATTGCGGCCGGAGGGCGTTACTACAGCGCCATTCACTTCAATGGCCCGCTAATCCCCCTCCTGCCCGGCAAAAAGTGTGCCGCCCTCAATGTGATGCAGTGTTTTCCGGCCAAAATCGGGCCGGAAACGCACTGCAAGTGGTGTGAGCGGGTCCAGTGATCGGAGGAGAGATCTGCAGCTAGAAGCCACTGATCGCGCCTCTGATCTGTCAGGGGAGACCCTCCACGCCCGGCCTGGGCTCACACGAGGGACAGATGAGCCCAGGAAGCTGGCGGCGGCCGTGGAGGGGGGCCGCACTGTACAAGTGATCCAGCGCCTGTACAGACGCTGGATCGCTTGTATTTAAACAGCAATAGCCAGCTGTTTAACACTGTACCAAGAACATGGCTGCAGGAGCAGCCATGTTCTTGGTATAACCGCTTCCAGCGGATGACTTACAGTTACGTGAACCCGCGTGAAGTGGTTTTAAAAAAATCACACGCGTAATGAAACACACACACATATCACACACACTCATTAAAACACATCACACACACACTAACAATAAAAGTTATTTTTAAAAATGACCCCCTCTCCTGCAGGAAGGGGGGCTGCATCCCTGGGCTTCAGTGGAGGATCAGTGATGCACTCTGGCAGACCATACTAATCAATCCCTGCCAATCAGTGGCGGCACCACGAGGGGGTGATCAGTATGGTCTGCATCAGCAAGAGATGCAGATCATACTAATTCTTCACTGGACCTCCAGGGCATGATTTTCATTTAATATATTGCCTGTTCCGCAATATATTAAATGAGATGTGGGCGCTTGCCAGGTTTAAAGATGGCCACCGCTACTCGCGGCAGCCATCTTTAAAAATCTAATAAACAGTGGAGACCCCCTGGGGACAACGGAGACGGGCCCCGGCCTCCTCCTGTGCTGCGGGGGCCCGGCCGCCTCCACCTCCTTGCCTGTCACTTCTACGTCCGATACCCAAGTAAGGTTCACGGGCCCCTAAGGCTGCCCGGGCCCCTTACATCACCATCGGCCATACCCCCCTGACGGCGGCCCTGTTTGCTCTAAACAAAGATCTATTAATCTCTTGATTATCATCATCTCTACCAGGATACATATACACTTTCCTCTCCTTGCAAGATCATAATTCAGTGTTATGATTAGTCAGATATTGGCTTCTATTCTGTTTTGGGTGTATTTCTCCTCAATTGGCATCAGTGCTGGGTGATATTTATTGCAGCATTGAGCATTTCTTACATTATGGTCATAATGGTGCATTAGAAGCACCTCTCCCTGGGCAGCTTAATAACACCTGCTAGTTCTAATCATGTAAATGCAATCAACACCTTACCTCCATGAGATATTTGACCACATGCTGGTTATGATGAACAGATTAAGTTACTTCGTGAAACATTCACTATATATATTCCCAGAAATGTTTTTGTACAAGTCATTCTGAATTGAGAAAGCTAGTCAGAAGTACCAGCGAAACGTCTTTAAAAAATACAGCAAGTCCAGTGGGTTTGATTTATTTACATATTTATTTGAATATTTACAGCAGCTGCAATCATTCATTTTCTTTTTGGACTAATTCACTGGAGTGCAACAAGTGAGTCTGAAAGTTGATTTTATACTGGAGGCATTGGTGAGTCAATCTCCTTGAGTGGCATTCATGTCTTCTTGGGAAATCTTCCCAATAGGCACACATATTAATAACAATAAAAACTTGACAGAGGTGCTTTTAAGTATTTAAGCCTTTATGTAGATCTGTGGTCAGGCTCTGGACCTTCAAACAAGCCCTTACTCATCTTTGTAGCTACATGCACTGTGGAGTAAATTACCCTCAAAATTTCCAGCAGAAGTACTTTAATTTAATTCGGACTCACCTCCCGATAATTCTCTTGGCAGTCGTCCATCCTTCTGATCTCTAAAGTAATCACAAAGCAGGTACACAGGAAGAGGAAAGTGCTGAGTCCCAACTTGAATAACTTCACTGCTGTGCTTGAGAATTTGAGCATGGATTTCTCCATAGTGGCTGCAGCTACAAAGGTCAGCAAGGACTTAAAGCTTAATTACCTTCTTGGTAAGAATTTTTACATATTTGAATGTTCTTGGCCTGGCCATGGTTCTATTTTAAGTGGGTAGTAGAGATATGCCAATTTACATAAAGCACTAAACTAAAGGAGCAATAAGCGATACATCTGGGGGGATTTTATGTAATGACATGCACATCTTTTCTAAGAAAGCACCATGGAGTATGTTTGTTGAGAGCATTTTGGTTCCTTTCAGCCAATGTAATCTGACCAGCAATCCAATTCTTGTCCACACATCTTCTGTGTGGACAATGTTCTGGTTGTCCATTTGGTGACCAGGAATACTTTTGCTAGTTAATACAAGTTTTCATAGGAAGAGATCAAATTTAATTTTCATTTTAATACGGTCGTTACATGATAACAAATAAAAAAACTGCTGAAAAATTGCCCCCCATCAATGACCTTATTGTGTGGCATTTGGGTAGTCCTGAAGGTTGCTTCCTAAATTCCCAAACAGAAAAGCTCAAACAATGAGTGAAAAGTCTTGTCAGGATAGTAAGAACTATTATAGCTGCAAAGGGTGGGCCTCTCTATATTAATGTTATTGGGGGTTATTGACTAAAGGGTAAAGAGTTTGGAGAAGGCAGGAGAAGTGAACAATCTAAGACAACATAGCTGAACTGGAAAGTGAGCTGAATTGGAGAATTTTTACAAATCAGCTATTGTGTCCTAGATTGTTCACTTCTCCTGCCTTCTCCAAACTCTTCACCCTTTAGTCAATAACCCCCTATATGTTGGATATGGGATGTCCATTAAGCTCATATAGGTGTGATTGTCAGGTGTCTAAAAACTTTTGGCCATAAAGTATAAAGCCACTGGAAGGGGAGGTATTAGATTATATGGGCAGGTGTTGATATAGATTGCAGATGATCAATATTCAGGGAAATAGTTTAGACCTCAGGAGGATACTTGCAGCATGACGTGCTGGGGTAGGAAATATACAAAAACAATATGAATTTGGGATATTACAGGATTAAACTTATAGAGAATGTATTATTTATTTGTATTTTTATGTCTTTTATTTAAACAAAACTACAATATAAAATTGTTTATTTGGATGGCCAAATTGCTAAAATATTTATTTCAGTGTACATCCTTATAAGTGTTTTTGTTTTATTAAATAGGTGTCACTAGCGTGAGTTTTCCTTAAATCTTCTCTGGCTTTACAAAAAGAATGTACATTTTTGGGAAGTCCTCCAGCACTGGAGGCTAGTATGGTGAATATCTCCCCAGCCACCATGGATTGCCCTCGGGTGCTCAGATAAGCCGGGATCATGGCAATCCAGACACCAAACACCAGCATGCTGAAGGTGATATATTTGGCCCCATTAAAACTGTCCAGTAATGTCCTCACCATGAAAGCCAGAACAAAACTCACAGCTGCCAGAAGCCCCAAATAACCCAACACAGAGTAGAACCCGATAATAATTATAATTATATATCTTGAATGCACCTATACCATTTTTTCAAGTACAAGTACTGATACATTTTTGTTTATTGTCATGTGACAGTTTTTCTAAAACAATACAGACTAATGATTTCAGAACAGTGGTGTAGCACCAGAGCCAGGTCCCAGCTGCAACCCTCATAGTTCTCATGCAAATGCTAAGTATCGGCACTGGTATCTGAACATCCCTAGTATTTAGGCCCATTTTTTTCTAGACTAATATGTAGACAGAAACGTTAAGATACCAGGAGTTCTGAGACCATGACTATAATCATGTGTTATTGTATGAATAATATTATCATTAGTAAATAATAATAATAATACTACAAATAATAACAGTCCTTTTAAAAGTAATTACACACAGAGAAAATACATAGTTACATAGTATAACTTTCCTTTTGTGCTCAGATAGGCCGGGATCATGGCAATCCAGACACTGCAGAAGACCAGCATGCTGAAGGTGATGTACTTGGCCTCATTAAAACTATCCGGTAATGTCCTCACCATGAAAGCCAGAACAAAGCTCACAGCTGCCAGAAGCCCCATATAACCCAACACAGAGTAGAACCCAACAACTGACCCTTCATTACACTGAATTATGATCTTTCCAGCAGAAGAGTGCATGTCATACTCTTGAAATGGTGGAGAGATGGACAACCAGAAAACAGCAATCATAACCTGAATTAATGAGCATAACAAAAGGACTGTATTGGGAAGTTTGACTCCCACCAATTTCCTACAGGAGCTTCCAGGTCTGGTGGCTTTAAAAGCAATAAAAACCATGATGGTTTTGGCTAGGATAGAAGACAGAGAGACTGTGAAGACAATTCCAAAGACGACTTGTTGCAGCATACAAGTTATATCCACCGGATGTCCAATGAACAGGAAAACAGAAAGGAAACTCAGCATGAGAGAGAAGAGCAGAATGAAGCTGAGGTTCCTGTTATTGGCTCTGACTATGGGAGTGCTCTGAAACCAAAAAAATATTCCAAGTATAGAGAGAGACGTAGCAGAAAATATGACTGAAGATGCAGAAAAAAAAGCAACCATTACATCCTTCTCATATGACAAATACTCACAAAGTTTGGCAACACAAATATTTCTAGCCTCATTAGGCCATTGATCTTCAAGACACATCTGGCAGTTTTCACTATCTGTAGAAGAAAAATATACTGAAAAATGTGCATAATTTACAATGAGTGCTGACACCCAACCTTCTTGTGGCCAGAGATTATTGAAGCTTAGACACCAAGACCTGGGTCACCAGTGTTGGTATGTGACAGATAACTAGACAATACCTCTATGGCTCATCTCTCCAACTGACAGTGGGTATGAAAACTCAGAACACAAACATATGTGCATTCCTAGTTCTCAGCAGGAAGGTAAATTCATATTCTCACAGCACGGCACACTTTGCATTTTGACTTATTGGGGTTGATTTACTAAAGTCAAACAGGCTGTTCAGTTTACTAGGACATTAACACTTTGCAGGGGAATTTTCCCAGAGGTTAATGAATGATGTGAAGCTCTGCTGACTTCCATAGTCCAATCATGTGCAAGCAAAAACACTTTTTTTTATGTTCCTTGAATGTGATTGGACATTTTGACCACATTCACTAAGTGAAGGTAAAATGTCCTTGCTAAGTGAACAGTCTTTGTCTTCAGTAAATTAGCCCCATTAAGTAATATTGCAGTCACAAAGGGTTTATCATAAAATACTTATCGTACTAAGACAAACACAAAAAAAGCCATTGTCAATCTTCTGTTACACAATCTAGCTGCCTGGCCATCTCTGGATTGTATCATTTCTGAGCTTACAAAACATTTGTGTTTTTTTAAGAACTCTTAAATGATATGTCAGGTCAAAAATAACACTTAAAGTGTATCTGAACCCCAAAATAAAAATGTAATATATTGCATCTTACTACAACTTAATTGTAGTGGTAATTGTAGTGGCTGCATTTGTTTACTTTCTCTTTAGGTGTTTTCCTTTATTTTCAGAAAGCTTTATCACTCTCTCCTTGATGGCACTGAACCACAAACCTGCATGATGACACAGCCTCTGCCCCCTGCATAGTAGTATTGTCAGTCAGGAGGAAGAGGTAAGCTAAGTTGATCAAACTTACTCTTGCCCCTCCTACTTAATGAATGGCAGCTGCTGCCTGCTGCCAGTAGAGGTGTGCCATCATTTTCATTCCATGACAGCTCACTGTCCTCAAATAACTAATAAACAAATGGGTGGAGTGAGCTGTCATGGAATGAAAACAAAAGGGTGGAGTGAGTTGTGATGTCACAACTAGCTCCACCCACTTATTCACATCCAGCCCAGACCTGTCATTTTGCAGCAAATGGTCAGTGGTAGTGGGCAGCGTGGCGGGTGGCAGTACTTTTTTTATTTTGGCAAGTCGGCGGGCAACATTCACTGTGATTGATAATGGATTACATTGCTGGATGACGTGATTGCCGATGGATTACAGTGTTGGACAATTTTTTAGATTCTCAAAAACTGTATTTTTTTGTTTAAGTTAAGGACTTTTTCAAAGTGTGGTGTTTTTATTTACCTTTTCTGTACTTTTGTGTGAATAAGTAGGGGTAACAACTGCCCCTTAATCATTCACAAGGGGGGCGGCATCTGGCAGATGTAGATGAGCCCACCTACCCACAGACCCTCACAACCACTGGGCCAGGGTTGTGGAAAAGAGTCCCTTGTCCTCATTGGCATAAGGAAAAGGGACTTTTCCAGGGGGTCCCCACCTAGAAATGCACCCTCCCAATATCGAGGGCATGTAACCTGGTATGGTGCAGGGTGGGGGAGTGCTCACTAGTCTCCCCTTGTCCTGCCCTTCCAGGCCAGTGATTGTTATGTGATTGTGGGGGGACCCCTTTTTTGGTGTTAGGTCCCCCCTATAATTTATAGCAGATCTAAAGGGTCTGGCCTGAATTTGTTGAATTTTGTGTTGTTGACATTGGGGTCTCCCTAACATTCTTACTGGACCTAAAGGGTTTGGTATGATTTCGGAGGGGATCTCCACAATGTTTTTCTTATTCTATTTTTAACAACTTTCAGGGATTTAGTCCGCTTAGGTGGACCGTTTTCCCCACTCCAGCTGTTTGTTTGGCTTTGCATGTTCATTCAGCTTGCTGCCTTCGGTTGTTCACTTCAGCTGCATTCAGCTGCTGTACATGCTATTGAGAATACCACGTACAGAAGCCCTAAGGTTCAGCTGAACCGAAATGTATCTGCAGCCAAAGCAAGCCCGAAGAATTAGCTGAATATTTAGCTAAATCCTTTGGCTCTTTAGTGTATAACCCCTCCCCCTATTTAGTTTCAATATTTAAAACTGAAATACATTTCCATTGAGTTTTCAAGGAACATAAAGATTACCAGAATGGATTGATATTTCTCCCTCTGAACATGGAACACAGTCATAACAACATACGTGATACCCTTCCCTTAGAGCTTTTCTAAACCCTGGAAGACATTCTGCAGAACATCGACCTCTTGGGACCTAAGATAACAAAGAATATAAATCATTACAAATAGTATTCAGAAAACTATTACATTACAAAAGACCACATTCCAAGAAATTAATGTTACTAAATGTGGTTTGTAAAATGACATCCTCAGACAAAAATAATGAAACCAAGCAATGAACTGCTATTTATAATGACAACATTTTTAACTAAATATATATATAGAGAGATATATATATACATATATCTATATCTATATATATATATATATAATAATATATTATACTAAATATATAAACATATTTAATTAATAACTTAATATTAAAGAAATATAAACCATCACAAAACCATCACAAATACCATATAGAACAATTGTAAAACTATAAAAATTAAAAGAAATGAATGTTACTCATTGTAGCTGAATGTAGTTTTTAAGCAACATCCTCAGACCAAAAAATTAAACTCACCAGTGAACTGCTCATTATAATCACAACTTATTTAAACTGGTTGCAAAGAAAAAGTCAAATTAATTTATCTTACATTGATGTTTTTTTAGCCATGTTACATAATATTCTCACATGTGTGTTTGGGTGTAATTGCAGCTTTGGGTCTAAAGGTGGCCATACACTGTACAACCATCGCAAGACCTTAGTCTTGCAACGGTTGTAAAGTGATTAAAAAAACATACGATCTGCCCATCTTGGACAAGCAGATCATACTCTCGATCATCGCAAGCCCACCCCCCTGAGGGGCGGGCTTACGATGACCGCAATGCTGAACGGGCAGTGTGCGCGTGCGCACACCGGCCCGTTCGGCATTTGTCTCCCGAGCACCGTTCAAACCAGCCGAAAATCGTACAGTAGAAACGGTTGCACGTCTCCGTTCACACTGCTCGATTCTCGTACGATCGCAGGATTTCACGCGATTCTCGTACGAGAATCAAGCAGTGTATGGGCACCTTTATTCTCAGCTGGCCAGTTTCCTTCCTCAATTTTCCTAGGAGAACAACATGATATGCAAAGGCTCTTGTTTACTTAAGGAGTAGAGGGTATTCACTTCTTCCGTCGAACCAGCAGGCTAGAAAACCCGCCGGGAATTGTACGATTCTCGGCGAGTTAGTGGCCTGCTAGTTCGACAACTGCCGAACGGGCCGGTGTGCGCACGCGCACACAGCCCGTTTGCAGTCATCTTAAGCCCGCCCCTCATTGCAGTCATCGTAAGCCCGCCCCTCAGGGGGACGGGCTTGCGATGATCGAGAGTACGATCTGCCTGTCCAAGATGGGCTGTCTTGCGATGGTTGTACAGTGTATGGCCACCTTTAGAGAGGCTAGAGACACATTGAAGGGAATTGATCAAAACTGGAGCAGACAAAAATCTGGAGCAGCTGTGAATGGCAACCATTCAGCTTCTCTCCTTCATTTTCAAATCTTAACTGAATAATTTGAAGAGAGAATCTGATTGGTTGCCATGCACGGCTGCTCCACTAATGAAGGGGTTAGATGGCAAAGTTATGAGGAAATATTGCAAAGATTAAACTTTGGAATCTCTGGAAAAGAGGTGATTAAGATAGAACATGATTGTAAGGTACAAATTGTTTTATGATGGTGGCAGAGTCAGCAATAAACTGTTTACTGTTAGTTTACTTAAGAAAAGAAGAGGCCACCACCTCAAACTGGAAGAAAAGGTTTTACTCAAACTGCAAAGTGGATTTTTACTGTAAGAGAAGTACAACTGTGAAACTCCATTCCCCAGGTAGAGGTTTCTCTAAGAAATCTTTGAGGGCATCCGTCTATTAGCACACTGTTTAACTTTTGTTTGTTTTGCGTTGTTTTACTATTTTCCTGTATTTATCCTCACATATGACTACACGAAAGTTGGGTCCATTTCACCACCCCCCCCCCTCTATTTTTTCCAGTTAACACAACAATGTATTTTTGGTTAAAGGGAAAATGTCTGTATCGATACTAGCAAGCCTGATGTTCTACAGGTGGGGACGGTGAATATACATGTCCCATTCCTAGAGGTCTGTATGTCCTGACAAAGCCCCCAAGAGGAGGGGCGAAACGCGTAGACGCCACACATCTACCCAGGTGGACGTCCGAGAGCACTGAGGATACTCTACCTCGACTCCTTACATTTACAGCACGTTTTGAACCGACTAGCAGCATTGACTTACACCCGGGATCAACTAAATTGGGCCACGCCGCTACTTTTCAGTTACATGCAAAGTCTGCATAGAATCTACCAGCAAGAGTGGAGACCCTGGACTCGATCCGTAAACCTAAACCACAAGCACATGGGAAGTGATTAGGGAAAGACGCCGGTGAACTGACACCTTACAACTGTGAGTAGGACTACCTTTATTTCACTCATATTTTATCAAGATAAATACCCCCTAATGCTTCACCACTCAGGGGAAGACTCACAGTACAGTTCCCAACGTAATGAACATCCACGGCTCGACTAATACGTCAATTACATCCTAATCTATAAACCAAACAACATCCGGCAAGTCAATCACCCCATGACACTGGAACATTTTAATCCAAAGGGAATTCCACTGAGAGATTCAGGCAATCCATGATCAATAACAGATGATCCATCTCCCATCTTTTAAAAAATCGGCAGTATTTACAACTCACCTCTGTATTGCTGATTACGGGGTTAACCCCTGTGCAAC